AGGAGAGGTGACACTGGGGACAGGAGAGTGACATCGGGGACACCGGAGTGGCACTGGGGACAGGAGAGGTGACACTGGGGACAGGAGAGTGACATCGGGGACACCGGAGTGGCACTGGGGACAGGAGAGGTGACACTGGGGACAGGAGAGTGACATCGGGGACACCGGAGTGGCACTGGGGACAGGAGAGGTGACACTGGGGACAGGAGAGTGACATCGGGGACACCGGAGTGGCACTGGGGACAGGAGATGGCACCAGAGCGGTGGCACTGGGGACACAGCACGGCCACCGGTCCCAGCCCAGTGTCACCAGTGCCACCGGTGCCACCATCCCAGTGTCCCCAGTCCTGTCCCAGTGTCCCCTCCCAGTGTCCCCAGTGTCCCCTCCCAGTGCCACCAGCCCAGGGCCACCAGTGCCACCATCCCAGTGTCCCCAGCCCTGTCCCAGTGTCCCCAGTGCCACCCATGGCATCAGCCCAGTGCCACCAGTCCCGTCCCAGTGTCCCCACCCCAGTGTCACCAATCCAGTGCCACCACCCCAGTGTCCCCAGTGCCACATCCCAGTGTCCCCAGTGTCCCCAGTGCCACCAGCCCAGTGTCCCCAGTGCCACATCCCAGTGTCCCCAGTGTCCCCAGTCCTGTCCCAGTGTCCCCAGTGTCCCCAGTGCCACATCCCAGTGTCCCCTCCCAGTGTCCCCAGTCCTGTCCCACTGTCCCCTCCCAGTGTCACCACCCCCGTGTCCCCAGTGCCACCCCCTCATTGTCCCCATCCCAGTGTCACCCCGTCTGTACTGGTCTGAACTGGTCTATACTGGTCTGTACTGGTCTATACTGGTTTATACTGGTCTATACTGGTCTATACTGGCCTATACTGGTTTATGCTGGTCTATACTGGTTTATACTGGTTTATACTGGTCTATACTGGTTTATACCGGTTTATACTGGTCTATACTGGTCTATACTGGTCTATACTGGTCTATACTGGTCTATACTGGTTTATACTGGTTTTTCACTCACACACAGCCCCGCACAGCACCATCAGGCCCAGGGCCAGCCCGTGCCCTGCCCGTAGCCCAATACTGGTTTATACTGGTCTATACTGGTCTATACTGGTCTATACTGGT